ATAGTATTATTTTCCTGACATTTGAATTTAAACATTAAAACATTTCTTAAACTACAATTACAAGCAGTTCTTGTCTCATGAAAACATAAGCGTTAATAACCGATGGTTGCGTAGAGGCTAACCCACTACTGGTGATGAAATTCAGATAATCTGAATGGGAAAAAGAAGAAACATCTTGGAACTCACTTTCTCAACTTCGTTGAAGAACCTGACCAATCTGGACACTCGAGCCAGCCGGATCAAGCTCAGGATTCGCACAAACATCAGTATCCTCATCATCTTGTTGGCCTTGGATGGGTTGTCGTCATTGTGGTAATGTAAATCCTAAAAAAAAGCATCTGTAATGAGTGACTACTGCTCTTATATACATCCCTGCTCATATAAGAAAAAAAGTGTCTCTTTTTACCGCAAACAGCAGAATGTATCCGATCGGGAAGGCCGCTATGACATCAGGTATGAACCATGTCCTCAGGTAACTAACCCGGATTCTTTTGATATCCAGAATAGCTTCCTGAAAGACAGAACAGATTGAGTATCCAGACTACATGCTGACAGACACACCATCTGCTCTAATATTTAGTAAGGAATTTAAAAATATGTGTAATGCTGGATTAAACTCATATACATTACATTACAGGACACGGATATCTGAATTTCACAGAAATGGGCTTAAAGTTAAATCTGGCAAAGCCAGATGTTTGTATTGAAAACATCACAGCTGGATAATCTTTAATTAGCATGAACTCTTTAATTCAATAGAAAAACAAACAGGATATCGACTGAATGATACCTAATTGGAAACATCATATTTTCATTTATAGCGACATCATAATTCTCGTTATAAAACCACACAGCAGGTGCGAATGTTGCCCGTATCGTGGACAGAGCTCAGCGGGAGGTTAATCTACCCTTTCGTGTATTGTGTGGATTACGGATAGGACGGGGATGGATTGCATGAGCTCGTCGGTGAGGGGATTATCTTCTGCCAGATTGTGTCTGAAAAAGCAGCCAGGCCACTCTCACCTCAGCGTCCTCCGTTATGATGCCCATCCGAAAGTTCAGAACCACGTCCAGCAGGAACAGCGTGTCTGAGAACACGTTGAAACTCTCCCAGGCCAGGCCGCTGTCACCATCCAGGAACGCTATCTCCATGGGAATCCCAATCAGGTTCAGAAAGGTGATGGCCATCATCACCATGATGTAGTAACTCCTACAGTGGGAACACATAATAAGAAATATAACAAAAACATTTTTGACATTTGGGTTTCGCTCAGATCTTGTTCATAAATGTGTTTTTAGCCTTAAAACTATAAGTGAACTCAGTTTGTTCATTCCTACTGCAGTTGGTAAGACAAGCCACATTATGCACACTAAACACCCTGATACTGTAACTGCACATCCCTTCAGCTAGGCTTAAATTGCCTGGCTCCAATTACTCCGCTCTCTGATCTCTAAAGTTTTGTTGGTCTTTCTGTGTTTTTGCTCTTTTTCCAGACTTATAAAAACCTTTATATCTCAGAAAATAACAAGATACTTTTTCTGTTTTTCTCATTTTCCCACATCAACCTACAAAAAATGATACCCTTATATTACTCTTATATCATAAATACAATGCAGAAATGTAGAGATCCATTGGCCATTACACTTGAAAATTAGCTGCATTTAACTTACAGTCAACTTTGACGATTGTTTTTTTTCTTTTATACCAATTTTTTTAGCACCTGCTTTACATATCATTAAAGATATGCTCCAGTTGAGTTGAGTATCCTTTTCCTGTGGAAATTTCCTAACTTGTATTAAAATATCAGAAACGTAAATGTATAAACCAATTGAATACCATGTTCTGTTGTCTTTCCATTTTAAAACAAGCTGTGAGAAATTAAGGATCATAGTCGGATACAATTGATGCAGGGGCATGGTTTATCCAATTGATTGTTTGTCCAGGCATACATTTACTTTAAATTTATTTAACATGATCTAAAGTGTTGTAGCAAAATTAAGTTAATATTTTTAGGTTACCATGGTTTCTGTGCAGAAGGATAGAAATACTATCTGGTTTTGAGAAACTGAAGCAGCTGAACCCATAGTGTTTGGATTTGGTCATGTTTGCCCCAACATAATAATAAAAAAAAACAAAAAAAAACAGGGATTGTAACATTTGAAACTAGTGTTGCAGCAATGATAAAAAATATATATATATTAGGGACCAAATTAACTTTAAATTAAATGTTTTGTTTTTCTGCATTCGCGAAAAATAAAGCATTTTTTTTGTGAACAATTTTCTAGAGGTTTGTTTCTTGCAGAAATGTTTATCAGCAAAGATTTGGAGATGAGAAAATCACCTTCATGACATTGAATATAAATGTTCCAAAAATAAAAGTACCATTGTGTGTTTTTATTTCTCTGCTTGTTTGTTGTAAAGTAACCACAAGGCAGGATTAAACCAGAGGCAATTCAGGAGGCCCTGTCAGTTCTGTTGCATCTGTAATTGAAGCGCCAATGTTTAGCATGGAGGTTCTTCCTTCTAAATGTATTTAAAGCCAGATGCTAATCAAATATCCATACGTCATTCTCTTGGGTTGTTGGAGTCTTTTGTGTATGGGTTTTGTGTTTGGCAGTTGTAAAGTATTTTATATTTTCTACATATATAAATGTAGGTCATGTGGTAATGGTTAATGTTACAGCAGCGATTTATCTAGAAATTTACATACAGTAGAAGTACGTGGGAAAATCTTTTAATTGTTATTTGATATAACGATCATATGCTTCAACCATTTATTAAATGATAAATATGCTTTAACAAAATTAAGTTCTGTTAGTTTTTTCTTGAAAGTAACCATGGATTTCTGTGGAGAAAAATTTTAAATCCTTTTTTTTGAGAAGCTGAAGCAACTGAACCCATTATGTTTGGATTTGGACATTTTTGCATGAGATTAACTAAGTTTCTTTTTTTTAAAATAACGTCATCACTTGCAAAATGCATCAAGCCGTGTTCTTGTTTTTGATATCAGAAAACATTCCTACACAGATGTATTTGTCTCTTTTAAGTGAGGAAAGTGTTGTGGCTCTCTTTCAGCCAGCTGTGCTCAGCAACAGGTAGGGGAGGGGCATCTCTGGATCACATGCAATTGTGGTTCCAGCCGTTTCTCCAGTATGGTAACTTAAAATTTTAAATTCAGCTTGCGAACTGCGTCATATCCTGATGCTTATTTCAAGTTTTTTCCTAGTTTGCACATTGATATTTTTTACCTCATTGACTAAAATGCTAAAATATTATTGCATCAAAATGTGTCAGTTTAACATTCTCCTCTTCTTCCTATTGTTGTAATTGAAGTCCTGGAAAAAAAGCTTCAAATGCATACATGAAAAAACTGAAGAATGAAGGTGATGCAAAGTGGAGGACTGATGTATGAAATACCTCATGGGGCTGAAGGGGTGAATGACAAAGACTCCGCTCTCCAGCTGACGCTTGCACTCCTTCTCCACTGCCACCTCGCTGCCGTACACGTACAGGGACTGTCTGTTCAGCTGCGGGAGAAGCAGGGCTCTCCATCCACAGGTGGCTTTTGTAAATCCAGTGGTGGGACCCTTGGATTTCTCCATGGACAAACCTCAGTTCCCGCCAATCAGCTGAAAGCACAGGCCATCCCACCACCACAGCTGCTCCTTCCTCTTCTTCTCAGGGTAAGTAAGTCTGACTCCAGCAGCAGTTCCAACCTCCCTCCTCAGTCACAAGGTATTTTTACATCCAGCCTCCCAACCTAAGTACATACTGAGGCTGCATGGAGTGAGGCAAGTGGATCCCCGCCTCTCTGCTCAGTCCCTCCTCTCTCTCTATTCCTGCCTCTCTTCATTTTTAACCTCACTCCACCCCTGTACTTCTATTCCTCCCAGCTCATCAACTATTCAGTATCCGTGTCTCATCCTCAAATGAATCAAGCCATGTCATGGGGACATGTCCAGCTCACATTAATACTAAGGACAATGGTGGATGAGAACGCTGCATATACTGTCATGGGAACTAGACATCTGGCAGCTTGTGCAGGGACGATTTCGGCCTGGGCCACAGAGCATGTAATTAAACACTATGCCGGGATACCTGATGCTGTACATACAGCACACATGGATCTTTTGGCCAACTTCTTGGGGATTGTTTGCATACAGATCATCAGTTAGAAAAGCAGAAACAATGGATATATAGAATAAACTGAAATTCCTGCATAAAAATGCATCTTTTTCTATACTTCTAGATAAAGTGAGAAAAGTTATATGAGCCAGGCAACTTAGATAAAAGAGAAAAAATATATTACATAACTTGACAGCAGAATTAATCCAGAGATCTTACACTGGGCATGATGAACACCCAGCATCTTGGCTAGTGCATCAGTTTTCACCATTCCTGCTACTTCTTTTCTTGCATAATTGAGGGGAGTATTTGCCTAGTGGTTAGAGCAGTGAGCTTGTGCTCTGAGAAGGTTGCAAGTACTCGGTTCGATCCCCACAGTCTGCACTCGGGGTTCATGAGCACAGACCCTTAACCGCCACTGCTCCCCAAGGTGATGGGTTAAATGGAGAGGTACATTTCTCCACTGTGAAATCAATAAAAAAAAATGTATTATTATTATAAAAACACACCCAAAAAAGTTGGAAAGAAAGCATATATTATTCCTTAGTGTGGCCCTTTCTTGGTTAAATCCAACAAACACGTTGATTAGGATGCTTTTTAAAGGGTTTATCTTTACTGATATTTTTGCAAATCTTTTACAATACAGCAGAAACGTTTTTAATGTTTAACTTTCCCCTCTCCCTTGATGCCTTGTTTAAGGGGCAGGAATTAACCAGACCAACTTTCTGCAGCATATTAGGATAATAAAACCTCACATAGCTAAATGGAAACCTGAAAGTGAAAGTTGATTCCTTTTCAGATTTCTCCACTTTACAAAAAACTGCACATAGAACCACCTATACTTCTGCAATACTTAAAGTTCCCGATGACACCCTTGAAGTGGCAGATGTCAATCATAACAATTAGTGTTGCCCTGATACCGATACCAGTATTGGGCAGGGCCCCGATCCGGCACTAAAATGGTGGTATCATATAGAGCACTGATACCATTTTGAGAGCGAAAAGTTTATTCAACTATTGTCACCCATTCCAGGAAGCCAATAAAAAGTTCTACTGGATTCACTTTGTACTAGTCTCTTTTCTGCTTCACAAAGGAAGGCAGCAGCTTGACAAAGCCAGGATGGCAATTATTTTACATCCAAGTAGCATGCAGTTCTTCATATACACACACACATAAATTTCAAACAGATGGTATCGGTAAGATATCGGCTGATACTGCACAGCCAGGTATCGGGGCCAAATAAATTGCATAGTCGCAACACTAATAACAATGAAATCTACTAAAGGCAGGAGACTGAATAATATTTGGACAAATGTATGAAGTCAAAATTATGCCTAAAGGGCACAAACACAATAAATACTAATTCTAGCAGTTGGATTTAATACAAATGCATTTTACATTTTTCAGATTCAGTACCACTAGATCCCTAACATCACATGCATGAGTTCATGCTCCTTTTACAGCACGCTCATGGCTTGCTTTAAAAATGCCCGTAGCCTCTCTCCTATATGTCTGTGGATCTGTTTTTGTGAGACCGGGTCAGGTTTTGTTACCATGAGGGTGATAACCATCCTTAAGCCCTTGTCACATCTTGAGAATTTAGCCAGCGCATGCCTGAAATATGAAAAATGGCAAAAACGCTGGGATACTTTGGATAAGTTATTGGTAAGTTTTGTATAAGTTATGAGCATGGTGAAATACGCTGAAGCACGCTGGCATACGTCGACATATGGCGAGAATGTGATATGCGATACGTGGGACATAAGTTACAGGTAAGTTATCTGATCGTTGACAGTGTACTCATAAGTCGTGGTGTCTAGCTCATCCAAAAAACCTCTGAGTAAGTTGTGCATAACTAATGCCTAACTTATCAACAACTTATCTTGAACGCATATCAGTGTATTTGACGTGTTCCAGACGACCGAGGAACGTGTTCCTAACTTACAGCTATTGTATAATGCCATATTGGCAGCGTTTTGATATAGAAGGGGAAACCATCAGTCCTCCTCATCATCATCACCTCATCACCTTCTCATTCATCATAGGATGAATGAGAAGGTGAGTGTGATGGATCCTCCCAGCATTCCCGCCCTCGGCCACGACACGAACCACGACGAACTTCCTAGGAGACATGGCGCTGAATTTGCTGTGACTGCAAACCTCTTTCTTTCTTTTTTTTTCTCTTTTTCTTTTGTTCTTTATTCTTATTTTTGGCAGGTGGTAAACAGCTGCTAGGTTAATACCGCAATCAAATAAATCTTTTTATGCAGACTGGATGCCTTCAGGCGCATTGCTGCCCCCCTCAGCACACAGGATTGTGACATTTCATGGTCATTACGCTGTCGTGCGTTATGCATAAGTTAGGTTGTTGTTGGACATACTCTCTGGACTTGTTATGAATACTCTATGTATACATCCAACATTGAAAAAATATATAGAAAGTTCAGCGTATGGCAGTGTTTTAAGAGATTCTGAGACGTCAGGCATATGCTGGCTAAATATGGCCTCATTTGCAACAGCTATCCCTCTCATCAGCTGACACTATTATAAACACAATACTAGACACAAAAGGGAAAATGCTTAACAGCAGCTGCAGATTGATTGCAAATGTAATGTTTAGCTATAAACAAGTCTCCCTTTCCTCAAATAAACAGTGAGCTAACGTTAGCTTAGCTCATATAAAGATACAAAATTAAGATTAATCATATAGTCCTGCTGTGAAAAAATACAACTATGTTAAAATAAGTTATTTAATGATTTTTAACTCTAAGACAAGAGCAATTAGTGTCATAAAACAAGACAGATGGACCCACTATTCAAGATGAGACAGCCAGTAGGAAAGTTCAAAATGTTTATTAACACAAAACAGGACAGAAACGAAGTGCGGTGCTGTGGATCCGCGGCTGTAGGAGGTGGACGGGGCACCGCCCAATCACTGACACTTTGGTGGAAAGAAACACAGGTAAGTGACCACAATCATCTGCCATAAGATGACAATCTAAGTGAGTCACTTACCTGGTTTCAAAGTTCAGTCCATCTCCCTAGAGAGGGATGCGATCCAGCTGACGGGCTGACAACCAGACACAGCGTGCGTCACCCAGAGTGTCTCAGATGCTGCAGCCCTAGGGAAGTAGCAGGAGGCCGATCCAGGTCAGGGGAAGGCAGAGCAGGCAGGAACAGTTCAGAAATCCAGAGAACCTCCACTCCATCAGAGGTTTCCACCCAAACTGGAACAGCAGGATCAGACTTCCAGGAAATCCACAGAGCCTTCAGGCAGGTTCAGAGTCAGGTGCAGAAGTGTGCCCTCACAGGCAGGCAGAGAAGCAGACAGGCAGGCTCAGATGCAGACTGGCAGGCTAAGTGGTAGAAGGAAGCAGAGATGAGATGTTGTTCCAGGATTTATGCAGGACTTTAAACTGGTCTCCATCTAGGAGCCAAGCTTACAAGAATAAAAGTGGATAAGAAGACGAGACAGACACGAAACCTCTCTACCAAATGGCCGCCAGGAACCAGGACATGAACCAGGGCACAAACTAAACTTACAAACAGACAAACAGAAAACAAATAATGATCTGGCTCCGATCGCTCGGGCTGAACCCGATAAAAAGCAGCAGATGCAGGTGAATGAGAGTAATAATTAGAAAAACAGGCAGAGTTAGTTAGGCAAGTGAGTGTGATGAACAATTAAGGTGAGCTTTCAGGCCAAATCATGACAATAAGTCTGAAGATGCTTTGCTAACATTACTGGACACACCCAAGAAGAAAACAGTAAAGTGTGAAGAGGCCAGATCTTCTAAAAAAAACAAAAACAAAAAAAACAATAAAGGGTAGAATGCGTCTGCATTGGTTACCACTCTCAAAGTGACAAAGATGGCATGCCCATTAACAGATCCTTGATGAGTAGCAGAGGAATGGAAAACAAGCCACAACTGTAGAGAATAAGAAGCATTTCCTTATGTGTGTCACATATTGGGATCTCCTGATATTGAATCTGCACATATAAAACACACCAGAGGTCTGTGGAGAGTAATTTACATGTGTGTGTAATAAACAAAACTGCTGTCATGAGTAGCCTATTTATTGCAATTGTGCCCTATAAAAATGCCTGCTCTTAAACAGCTCAGAAACAAGGATGGATTTGGTTGCACGTTGCACGGTCCAACACTTCATTAATGGGTAGAGGGGAAGAAAGCATGCTTCCTTATATTCAGAAGAACCTACATAACAAAGGACTTCAGTGGGACTATTAACACTCTCACCTTTCTAATCCCACCAGACAGTTCTTTCTAATGAAAGTGAAACATGCTGTCCTATCCTTAGATCTGTTTAAAAAAGTTCAACAGAAGTGGAATACAGGGCATCCATACATACAGTACATCTGTTCTTAGAAGATTGTAGGAGCTCAACTTCCTCCCCGTTACCCTCACTGGCTGCAGTAGAAGGCAGAAATCAATCAGTTTGTACCATGTTACCTATGTCAGTCTTATCTTATCCCAGGAAAATGGCATAGGGCTCCAAAGGGACATGCTAGAAGAATGTTTGCATTGTTTCCTCAAAACAGATCCAGATATAAATTGCTTTACTGAGCAGT